AGTGAAGATTGGCTTCACTTTAAAAATGCATGTCAAGGTCTCAGATGTCACTCCAGTGCTCAGTTCATGAGCCCTCCCCACTGATATGGGGGCTCTTTGATTTTCATTCAAATGAACCTTTGCATTTCCCCTTTATATACATTTTAAAATTGAAGGGTAGATGCTGAACCAGTGGAAAGAGGAACAGTTCCATCAACTTCAAATTGAAGGAAGGCACTTTACCCAACGTGGGTGAGAGAAAATCTTTCTGCACCTCCACCCAGAGCTGCTCAGATCTAATATACAGTGAAATCAAAGGGAAACATCAGCTATGGCATCTCCACCCATGAGCAGCCAAGAGAACTTTGTCTTGTGAGAGACTTCAGTTAATAAAGATAACGAAGAAGCACAAAACTGACAGAGTTAAGGAGAACTTCTTCATCTGTCAGATTGCTGTGGGATGAGACTGGAGTAATTGCAAGTCTGATCAACCTAGGGTATTCTGCAAGCCCCTTCTGCGACAAAGTTTTTCAGCCAGAATTAGAATGATTTTAAAGTGAAAAATTTACCCTCACCAGGACTTTTCTAACCTGAACAGCATAAAATGCCGTCCCTCAATTGTAGGGCAGAAAATAGCATTGAAGTCTATGGAACTGGACTGATGTACACTAGCAGAGGACTCTTTACAGAGCAGTGTTTGTTAATCCAAGGGAAATGTAAAGCTTTTTTGAATGAAAAACCAAACAGCCCCAAATAAGGAGTGAGGTTGTGCTGCGGTCAAGGAGAGGCATTTCTTTGGTCTTTTAGTGTTTCCTATCCCCTTCCTGCTCTAGACTGGTTGCTTGATCTTATCTCGGGAGAGGAGTTTGAGGCTGGACTGTCCTTCAAGTGTACACTCCTATATTACACTCCCACCATACGCAGCAACATGTTAGCTCTATCTCTTCCCCCCACCATCTGCTTATGGGCAGAAGTAACACACAGTGTCCTTGTTCTTTGCTGACATATATTGGTAGGAATATAAAAATATCAAAAATCAAATGAGGAAAAAAGACCCAGCATACACAATGACCACTTGCCTTCAAATGCACAAGAATTTTCACTTTCCCATTAAATTTCTTCATTTGTATTACACAAGGCTTCTTTCTCATTAGATGGGTTATTTAGTTACAGGGGTATTTATAATATAAATGTTTGCTATTACATTCTAACTGAGTACAGATAAGTGAAAACAAAGCATGCACCATCCCATTATTTGTCAGGAGGTTTAAACACCAAATTCATTCTTATAAATTTAACAATCACCTTAATTTATACTGATACACAAGTGAATTCGGGGGAGGGATAGGTCAGTGGTTTGAGCATTGGCCTGCTAAACCCAGTGTTGTGAGTTCAATCATTGAGGTGTCAACTTAGGGATCTGGGGCAAAATCAGTACTTGGTCCTGCTAGTGAAGACAAGGGGCTGGACTCAATGACCTTTCAGGGTCTCTTCCAGTTCTATGAGATAGATATATCTCCAAATTATAATTGGTCTGGCTTCCAGCTGAGAGTTTTTTAGTTCTCAGTTGACACTTGGCTTACCAGCATCACAGCACAACTACACAATGGGGAATAACTGGCTAGGGCGTGGTATGGCTGAAGGGGATCTGGGGTTTCTAGTTGATCACACAGTGAATGTGAGCCAACAATATAGTGGTTTAGATAAATAAACTGGGCATATTTACGTTACGTTTCGGTGGGGTAGAGGTCACTTCATTGCCCTTCTCCAGTGCCGAAATTCCCATAGAAAGCAGATGGAGACCCAGAGTTAAGTCTCAAGGATTTTCAGCAAGGATTGCACAGGGTCAACTTCCCCATATTCAAGGCCCCAAAAAGAACAAAAAGGAGGAACTTAATTAAGTACCAACTTTATGGTAAAGAAACACCATAAATAATAATAATTTAATGTTTACAACATAACACGGCTATTTTATAACCCACAGACATTATCTTCACAGTTAAACATAAACAAAGGAAACAAATGAAATCTAAATAGGTCAGTCCCCACAGAAACACAGTGAGAAGGAACTCAGAGTTCCCGAAAGCTTAGGTTGAGTTAACCGGAGCCTAAGTTAGAGTCTTTGATCACCAAATCTACACAATCTGTTGAATCAAAAGCAAGATCTTCCCTCCACTTGTCTGCAGGAATCTTGACTTGGAATCCATACAGACTAGGGCTGCCAACTTTCTAATCGCACAAAACCCAACACCCTTGCCCTGCGTGAGGCCCCGCCACCACTCACTCCATTCCCCCTCCCTCCGCTACTAGCTCTTCCCCACCCTCATTCACTTTAACTTGCCCTGCACCGCCCCTTTCCCTGAGACCCTGCCCCTTCTCCAAAGCCACACCCCCACTCACTCCATCCCCCCTTTTTCCGTTGCTCGCTCTCTCCCACCCTTTCACCAGGCTGGGGCAGAGGGTTGGCATGCGGGGGGGGGGTGAGGGCTCCAGCTGGGGGTGCAGGCTCTGGGATGGGGCCAGAAATGAGGGGTTCAAGGTGCAGGCGGGGGTCAGGGCTCGGGAAGAGATTGAGGTGTGGGAGGGCGTGAGTCTCCTGCTGGGGGTGCGGACTGTAGGGTG